ATTCCTGGTCAGAGGCTAGAGCAACTAGAGTCTGGGCAAAGGGAGAAACAACAGGAGGCTGGGCAGAGGGCAGAGCCACTAGAGGCTGGGCAGAGGGCGGAGCCACAAGAGGGTGGAGCCACTAGAGGCTGGGCAAAGGGCGGAGCCATTAGAGGGTGGACAGAGGGTGGAACAACTGGAGCCTGGACTGAGGACAGAGCCATTGAAGACTGAGCAAAGGGAGGAGCTTCTGAAGGCTGGGTAAAGTTTACCGGGTCACAATGTATTTCCTGAAATGAAAAGGACAAAAATACAACAATGAAAAAAATCATGATTTAATCACTACGGCTAGGTTACAAATATTAATTTCTCAATTTCAAATGATTCTCATTTTGAAAAACTGTCCAGCAGTTGACAACCTATACCCAAACCTTTTAATAATAACATTTAATCAATCCTTAAAAATTTTAACCAGTAAATGATGCTGTCAGGGCAAAAACTCAAACACTGCATATGGCCAAATGAAAATCATGATGATAAAGACCTCTTGTTCAAGTAAAACTGCTATGTTAACTTACCAGATTATCCAAAGCTGACATCCAAAGGACATACAAAGTAGAGGATGGTTTTATGCCATGATCTGCAATTGACCCAGCAGAAGTGCTCTCAACATCTTTTGAAGATGCAGCTTCCCTGACCTTAAAAACTTCACTGGCCATTTCATCTTGTCCAATCCCGCTCACCCCTCCCTTTAGAGAAGCTACGGTGGTCGATACAGGACTAAGATGTCGTCGGTAAAGACAGCAGAGAGCAATGAGATTCCTTTACAAAGGTAAATTAAGGAATTGTATTTACTTAATTATTCAATAAATTGATGTTATTGCGAATATTAATGTACTTGTTCATCATTGTGTCAGTGTTTTATTCGTAAGAACAACAAAGTGATGAAACGCGCTGTGTAGAGCAGTTTGTCCGTTTAGGGCTACTGTAGAAACATTTATTTTATTTATTTATTTAGTCATTTAGCAGACGCTTTTATCCAAAGCGACTTACAAATGAGGACAATAAAAGCAGTCAAAATTAACAAAAGAGCAACAATATATAAGTGCAAATGACAAGTCTCGGTTAGCCTAACGCAGTACACGTAGCAAAGTGTGTATACATATATATATATATATATATATAACACACACATTATACACACACACATATACACACACACACACAAAGAAAAACAAGTATAGAATAGAAAAAATTGAAAGTTAGTGTTTGTTTGTTTTTGTTTTAAATAAAAAATAAATAAAAACAACAAAGTGACGAAACGCGCTGTGTAGAGCAGTTTGTCCCTTTAGGGCTACTGTAGAAACATGGAGGCGACTTCCATGTAAGGGGACCCGCGGTGTATGTAGATATAAATTGCTCGAAACATGGTGGCGACTTCCATGTAAGGGGACCCGCGGTGTATGTAGATATAAATTGCTCAATCTAAGGTAATAAAAACATAACGGTTCATTAAGTAAGGTCTTTATACACCTCTGAAAACATAGTTAAGTATATTATATTACATTTCTGTCAATAGATCGATGTAAATATTACACATTGCACCTTTAAATCCGTGGGCTGTGGTGCCCTATGCCATCGCGGTAAAGTTGGTTTTATATTGGACATTTGTTAGATATTCGATCTTTTCTAAAGCATTCATTTATATGTAATCGCATAATAGTCATGGATCATGCTGTATCTCGTTCAGATCACATTTAAAAGCATAATATCAAAATCAATAATAATATTTACAAATCTATTAGACTTCCTGGTCATGTGACCTGATGACATCACAACTGGTCTACTTTGTTCACACACATTTCCTTTCCATCATACACGAGTTGGATTGCAAAAATAACAATTAGTGTATTTTTTATGAATTTTTCCGTCATACAAATCTATTAAACTTCCTGGTCATGGGACCTGAAGATGTCACACCAGCTGTAAGATCTTCACTCAATCTGTGTTATTCATTCAAAATATTAGAGAAATATAGAAGATCTTGATTAGGTTAAAACCGAAACCAAGCCATTTACACAGAACGCATATTCAGCGCATTTTTTTAGACGGACAAATATGCATCTCACACAAGAGATGTAGCCATGAAAACTTAAAACAGTTTAAATTTTTAGAAAACACGTCCTTTTCACTGCGTCTCATATGTTTTTAAATGCAATCTCCGTGATGGGCGATTCGGCTCTTCGTATTAAGCAATGCATAAATACATGCTGTTTTGTTCATAATTGTTTATGCAATTTACGAAATTATATTTGATTTATATGAGTTAATTTAGACGTAATGCACGTTTTTTTATAGACAGTTATTTCCATGCGTTGACATTATGTGCTGCATTATTTTGCTTATTGCGCCCTCCTGTGGCCTCGGGAGACAAGACAAAAGTTTCCTTAAAATTTATTTAATCTGCATATAAAACATTAGAAATTAGATATTTGTTTAATTTTTATTGTGTGTTTGACTGTTAAAACAAAAAAATATTTGTTGTTTGTCTCAATAAATTGGGTTAATTTAAAAGTACAGTGGTTAAATTAAAAAAAAAATTCTATTGCTCTGTTTTTAAAAAGGTTATAAAAAATGTCAATAATTATCGATACCGAACGATATGAATTATATCGTTGATACATGTTTTAGCTACATCACCCAGTCCTATATTAACATCTATATAACTTCCATATGAACTTCCATATAATCACCCAATGATGCCACACCAGTTGTAATATCTTCACACAATCCTGACACACATTATACCTTTAAAATAAATTGGATAAATAACTATTAATAAACCCTCATCTATATAGAGTCTGATCTCTAATGTTATTTTTCCAAACTAGTGGTTTAAGTTTCTTATTACTGTGTAATTATAGCATTATGAAAATCCCAATCAAACCTTTTTTATTGGCAAATGTTGTTAGCTTGGTCCCCCATTTTTAAACACAATTTTACACCTCTTATCTAATCTGTAAAAAATAATCTACTGTATAAACACAATTCTCTTTTCCTTGATAATTGGTTTAAAACTGGTATTATTTTTGTCTTAACTTTTCAATCAAAATGGTTCAATCTGTAATTATTCCAAGTTCTTAGATAAGCATGAAACTCCTGTTAGTCCAAAAGAGTTTGCGGTTGTTGCTGATGCAGTGCCACATGGAGTTCTCATGCTTTTTAGAGCTCTTTGTTTTCCAAACTCTTGTCACTCAGTGGATCTATGTAAAACAGTTGTGGGTAAACAGTGCCATCTAAATAATAATAATAATAAAAAAATAACAACAATAAGAAAATTCGAATTTTGTTTCAGGAGGAGTCTGTTTTTATGTGATCTCTTACTGGAATGGTTTGGAAGAAAGTTTGGTTATTAACTCACAAATACCTGATAACTAAAAAAAATGTGAGAAGTTACATTTAATTGGATTCATTAATTCTATCCAGATAAGTGCTCTCTTAAAATACTTAAGAATGATGTTAATACCAACTGTTCTTTCTGTTTCGAGAACCCTGAAACCTCTTTACATTTATTTTGGAATTGCTCTCACACAATGACATTTTGTTGTGACATTCTTGATTTGATGTTGATCCTAATTTTGAATTTACATATGGAAATGTAATTTTTGGTTTTCTTGATTGTGAAAAGGAGTGTTATTTATTTCATAAACCTTATTTTCCTGTTAGCTAAATATCAAATATATATACATATTTTTATTCAAACCTGAAATGGAAATGTGTTTTAATTTTTAAAAGGTGATTTTTTTATTGTTGTCCTGACACACATCATTCACAAACTGGATTTTGGAAATATGATTTCATGTATTTTTGGCAAAATTTTCAAATATTCAAATCTATATAACTTCCCCGATCATGTGACCTCATGTTGCCACATCCACTGTATTATATTCACACATTGTATATTCATATTTTTTCTTTTGAAAATATATTTGCTGTTTTTAGACAATTGTTTGAATTATTGAAAGCTTTTTTTTTTTTTACTTCTTGGTCATGTGACCTGATATTGTTACACAAGGCTGGTTTATATTCACAAACATTTCTCATACAAAAATATTTTCATTGCTATATTATTTGTATATCAAACATTTATTTAAGTAGTATTATAGTAATTTTTGGTAAAGTCCTTGTGTAATTTGGTGGGTCCAGGCCTCAATGGCATTTTCTGAGAAATGCATAAAATAGGAATTTTATGTAGAAAATGTAAGAACAATCATAATTTGGTTAGGGTTTTTCTTTATTTTTAGAAGAGTGGAGTGCATGTTAGAACAACAGTGGGAGAATAAAATCAGGACATGATTCCAATCAGTCTTGAACCTGGGTCCCCACAAGCCAACTGGCCTCAGATATCCTAAACTAGTACATAGCCCACTGTTCCGTTCATACTTGTCTGTAAGGGCAGTTTAAAAATTGTTTATTCCTGTTAATGTACAACAGCACGAATTAAGGCCATAAAGAACTATAAGAACTATTAATAAACCCTCATCTACATAGAGTCTGATCTACAATGTTATTTTTCCAAATAAGTTTCTTAAGTTTCTTATTACTGTGTAATTATAGCATTATGAAAATCCCAATCAAACCTTTTCTATAGGCAAATGTTGTTAGCTTGGTCCCCCATTTTTAAACACAATTTTACACCTCTTATCTAATCTGTAAAAATAATCTACTGTATAAACACAATTCTCTTTTCCTTGATAATTGGTTTAAAACTGGTATTATTTTTGTGTCTTAACTTTTCAATCAAAATGGTTCAATCTGTAATTATTCCAAGTTCTTAGATAAGCATGAAACTCCTGTTAGTCCAAAACAGTTCGCGGTTGTTGCTGATGCAGTGCCACATGGAGTTCTCATGCTTTTTAGAGCTCTTTGTTTTCCAAACTCTTGTCACTCAGTGGATTCACTATTTATTGTCACAATAAATCACTTCACTTGCAACTGGATTCTGAGTTCTCTTTCCGTAACAGGATCTATGTAAAACAGTTGTGGGTAAACAGTGCCATCTAAAAAAACAAAAACAACAACAACAACAAAATTTGAATTTTGTTTCAGGAGGAGTCTGTTTTTATGTAATCTCTTACTGGAATGGTTTGGAAGAAAGTTTGGTTATTAACTCACAAATACCTGATAACTAAAAAAAATGTGAGAAGTTACATTTAATTGGATTCATAATGAAATTGGATAAATTGGATCAAGTGCTCTCTTAAAATACTTAAGAGTGAGTGACGTGACATGTGGCCAAGTATGGTTTGGGTAGTTTTTGTGTTACCCACCTCCTGGGTCAAATGTAACAAGCAAGTGGGTTGGTTGTTTTGCAGCTCCTGGGTCAGACATAACAAACTAATTACTAAGAGTTCAAATTGATTCGAGCCAACTGAATAGAATTAGCCATGGGTGTGTAGCCCATACTTGATTATATTCTATTTATCTTACACACACACAAACACACTTGTTGAGTTTCCATGTTTTAAGGGGACATTCCATAGAGGTAATGGTTTTTATGCTGTACAAACTGTATTTCCTATCCCCTAAACCTACTCCTCGCACAAAACTTTCTTCTGTTTTAGATCTTCTAAAAAGATCATTGTGTATGATACTATACTTGTGGGGACATTATGTATTCCCATAATGTAGGGAATACAAGGACCACACACACACACACACACGTCTA